TAACCTCAATATGAAATATTATTTTTATGAAAATAAACCTCAATGAAATTTAACCTCAATGTGAAATAGTATTATTTTATTTCAGTGAAAGTAAATCTCAAAGTGAATTTTTTTTTCATTGAATGCAAAAGTAAAACGATTCCGAGAATTTCAATAAGAATGTAAATCTTAAACCTCAATATGAAATAGTATTATTTTATTTCCGTGAAAGTAAACCTCAATATGAAATAATATTTTATTTCAGTGAAAATAAACCTCAATGAATTAGACCTCAATGTCAAATAGTATTATTTTATTTCAGTGAAAATAAACCTCAATGTGAAATACTATTTTATTTCAGTGAAAATAAATCTTAAAATGAAACAGTATTATTTTATTTCAGTGAAAATAAACCTCAATATGAAATAGTATTATTTTATTTCAGTTAAGATAAACCTCAATATGAAATAGTATCATTTTATTTCAGTGAAAATAAATCTTGAAATGAAACAGTATTATTTTATTTCAGTGAAAGTAAACCTCAATGTGAAATAGTATTATTTTATTTCAGTGAAAATAAACCTCAATATGAAATAGTATCATTTTATTTCAGTGAAAGTAAACCCAATGTGAAATAGTATTATTTTATTTCAGTGAAAGTAAACCTCAATGTGAAATAGTATTATTTTATTTCAGTGAAAATAAACCTCAATATGAAATAGTATCATTTTATTTCAGTGAAAGTAAACCTCAATGTGAAATAGTATTATTTTATTTCAGTGAAAGTAAACCTCAATGTGAAATAGTATTATTTTATTTCATTGAAAATAAACCTCAATATGAAATAGTATCATTTTATTTCAGTGAAAGTAAACCTCAATGTGAAATAGTATTATTTTATTTCATTGATAATATACCTCGATGTAAAATAGTAATATTTCATTTCAGTGAAAGTAAACCTCAATGTGAAATAGTATTTTGTGGTTGGAGAGGTAAAGTGTCAGTGAGGTCGTTTGTAGGTGTACATGAAAGACAACATGATCTCATGTTATTTGGTATGG